ACTTGAACCGATCCGTTTTAAGCCTACATTAAACTTGATATGGTCAATCAGGTACAAATACTGAAAAAAATATATCCATTGGTTATATACTTACTCGAAAATTTGTTAACAACGTAGGACCTACCTTTAATTGTCTTTCTTCCAATTTTAGTTAAAAATTTATCACTATCTGCAAAGAAAGTATTTTTTCAATTTTAACAGCCTTGCAACCTTCTTTTATTAACGAAAAAGTTGAGGATTTTACGATCAGTCGTTTCTTATTACAAAAATGAGCGTAAACAAAAAATCAAAGTAATTCGTATGAAACAGTCATGAAATTAAATACTATTAAATTAAGATATTATTCATAATAAATTTATTAAACTGAATTTATTTTTAACTAACTAGGGATTTGAAGCTGTTTTAACCTGGCGAATCTTGGTATACTCTAATGTCAGCCCGAAATCCACTTAAAGGTATTAATAAAAATATCCTGGTGATTTCTGTAAATTGAATATAATTTATCTGGTATATATAATTAATCTCATCACAAATAAGAAAGGCAAAATTTTATTTCTAGTTCCGCAATCAATCATTTCAATTTTCTTGACTATCACGGTATTTGAAGTTAAATAAACTGAAAAAGGTTAGAAAGAAAATAAAAAGACTTACACTAAGCCTATTGAAAATAATTGCTGAAATAAAAATTAAATGAAAAAATGATCTGCGTGAAATGTAGACTCCAGCCGAAAGGTGTCGTTAGCTGCACGTATCGATTCGGTAAGGCCGCTCGGACTGCAATTTTCCGGAGCACTAAACCGTTCAACAGGCCACAAGAATTTGAATGGCATTCCTATAAGTAGAACAAGACACTGAAAACTTCTAACATTCTAGACTTGGTCACAAGGGACCAATTTAACTTACTGCCCTGGATGCGCTCCATGCGCGATTCATAAATTGTGAGATTCCTTGAGAGAAATCGAGTCAAATTGTTATGAAATAGAAATTCATTTTCGCCTATTACTTGAGCAGCAGTTGCATCATTAGCCAGAGAAAAATATTATGTTTTTAAATTCCCCCTGAAATGTGGATGAACGGGATGTAAATCAAATGACAAATATTTCATAAACAAAGATGAAGTAATTTTTACTCAAAATCTAAATTTGATGCGGCGGGGTAACTACCCCAGTCTCTATTACCCCCAAAATAATTTTTATATATTTTGAATACTATTACTAAACTATGTAGACACAACTGAAATAATAAATCTTTAATCAATCAGACTAATTTTTTCACTTAATGATTTAAGTATAAATGTTTATCATTCATTTATTGAGGAACCTGACTAATAATTATCGTTACTCTTTGGTGAACTCATGCCTCATTGCCCCAACAACGTTGAAATGCAATAACCTCCTGCCATGCAGTAAGACAGCAGCACGACTCGTTGCATTCGAAAAGTTAATTTTCATTAATAGCGCTCCTTTGATTCAAGAGAGTAAATTTGAAATCTTCGCTTGAATTTATCTGATCGTATTATTTACGGGGGGTACGCATTGGAAACCATAAGTCGTTACATCTTTATTTCCTGCTACAGTCAGCCATCAGTCCAGTCTGCGCATTCGCTAATCAGGAGTAGGTTCAATTATATCAAAAATTTTCTACTGTTATTGGTCAATTAAAAACTATACGGATAACCAATGGACAGTTGAGAAACTGTGGCAATTGAGCATAACAGCGATTGGTCACAGATACAATCTTTTATTGTCTGATTTTGACCACAGATGTCCACAATCAGGCAGATAATGGATATTTATTTCCAGATAGAATCGTGCCATAAGTAAAATTGAAGGTAAACCCACGAGAAGCTAGCGTGACACTGAGAAGAGAAGCCCGTGAGGTGGCGTGACGAGTCTGCTAGAGCTCAAAGAACATAAGTTCGGTCACTTAGTCTGGACACGCTACGGTTGCTTCCCTTCAGAAGCATCACTCACTTCACTTGAACATGCATCGTATTGCCGAGCATTACTGCAGTATTCCCGAGTAGAACTATGAGATATTTCCTTTTAGTTTAAAATCTGAGAATTGAAAGTCTAGCGCTTGGATAACACTTATTCGAAAGACGTCAGAAATTGTCAACAGCCCCTTGTTTTTTCCTTCATAGTCCAATGACTTTAACTTCTCTGCATGACAATGTTTACAACAAATTATGAGCGAGTTAAAAATGCCTCACTTAAGAAAGACTACGACCATAAAACTCATTGCTATTATTTACCCCCTAATTTCCCTAATGAACTTAAAGTAACATCTGAACGCTCAAAATATGAAGTGCATGAAATTTCAAGCAATAATGTTCAACAATTCTACATTACACACAGAGATGTATTCATATCACATTGTGCAATCAATTTGGGGAAAAAAATGGTTTGTATAATACAGGGTCGACTGATGTTGGAACTATTTCCAATGGGATACAGTCAATTAACATGAATTCGTTTTCATGAACTTGCAATAATTGAAAGCTATTTTGTTTTTCTTCTATTTCTCTGTCATGCAAGTATCCTTAACTTTGCGTATCTCAGCAAAATTAAAAATTTTCGCGAATTGATCAGACTTAGCATGCACTGCAATCAAATACTAAACAATATGAAACTAGGATAAACAATGTTGTTGAACCTGCCTCCAATTTATTTTCAATAACATGTAATTGTCGAAAAATATCGGCATCAAAATAATCTACGTTAATATTGTATGCATCTATGACTATTTACTATCTTCTCATGATTAAAATTAAAAATATTTTATTCATGAGTCACAAGGACCTCAATAGTCATAAATTAAGATACTCATCGTTGACGCATCAACATTTTACTCATTGCTCTAAACGTGTATGTATATAGGTACCTAAGAATACATGTTTGTAAATCACTAACACGCATTAATAACCACCATTCAAGCATTAATAACCAGGAGCATCGATTCCAGATCACATCAGAATATTAGGCCTTTGATATTTATCGAATGCAATTGCCATAAACGGATCTCAATTGGCTCGTTTGCTGAAGAAAAAATACTTACTGTGAATGCAATGTCGAGGAGGGCATTAACATTATCCTTTAAAATTATTATCTAATGTGTGCGTGCCCAGTTATCACCCTCACTTCTCCCAGAAGACCTTGTGAACCAAGCATGTATTTTGTTTTCTTATCCACACAAAAGCTTACTGAATACTCAGACAATGCAGTGGCAAGGCTTGCAATTAGTGCCAGTCTTTCTATGAACAAAAGCCTCGGCAATGACGGATTCCCAGTTGCTGCACGCGATAATAAGTTCCTCTTGTCAACCAACAGTAAGATAATAAGTTCCTCTTGTCAACCAACAGTAAGATAATAAGTTCCTCTTGTCAACCAACAGTAAGATAATAAGTTCCTCTTGTCGACCAACAGTAAGATAATAAGTTCCTCTTGTCAACATACAGTAAGATTCACAAACTACGTAGAGAGTTAATTTCCAGTCCACTATTACTGGAATCATCACTGGAGCAAAATTAGCTAACAGTGGAGACACTTTGACTGGTGGATTCAAGGTTCAGTCAAAGTTTACTCGATATAATTAAACCTTGCTCTGAACATTATCAAATTATACAGCAGGAATCACTGTTAGAGCGGCTTGTTATCGCACCAAAATGTAAGAGTTTCTAATCGTTTCATCTGATGTTAGATTAAATTCCTTTGACAACAGATAAGGAAAGCAGAAGCACAAGTCACTTTGTTGCATTGCCGCAGCAAAGCGAATTTTAGAATAACGGAGAATTCTAACGAATTTAGAATTAAGTTGTTTTCAACTGATTAAGCGTGCATACAGCTTAGCACGCCTTCATGCTATAGTTTTTATAACAGCAAAATTTGTACATTTGTAAAAAATTTGTATTTGTGCCTTCAAATGTTAAAAACCCAAAGACATGATTTTCACCAAACGCGTTTTTTTCATTTGTTTTTATATATACATATATTTTTGTTCTGCTTGAAATGTTAACTTTTCAATACAATATCATCAACTACAAAACTCGCCAAAAATGTGAGTACGTTGTTTTGAAATTCGCATTCAGCAGCCATGTCTTGAAGCTCGCAGCAATGAATGCACAGAAGCAAGAGAGTCGAATGCCAAATTCAAGTAGAATGTATACGTCTAAAATAATGGAAGAAATGTCGTCAACAATCCATTGGGAATCGCATAATTCACAGACGTCAGTCCCTATCGCCGCACCGTTCCTTAGGGATTTGGCCTGAGAATAAACCTAAGGCTTGACTTGAAATTCGAAGAAAGACTCCTTTAAAGAGAATCGTTTGCAGGAAATTCACTGAATTTTTAAGGCAGTAAATTTAGTAGCGAGTGAGACATGTGGCAGAGGAGCGCAGCACATAACACAAGTCGTTAACATTTCGCATCAAGTAGCACGAGTAAAACAATAAAAAGGGTTTAAAAATCCAAAAGAGTTTGATCGATTCTAACCCTGTTTCTTTCAATAACGTGAAATTATTACACTCTCATTTACCTGAAAGTTAAAAAACCGTACGGTATAATATGTGCTGCTATCTACTGTGTCTTTTTGTACCTGGTTATACTTAGTTAAATCTGCAAATTTTCTAATAAAATCGGGTTTAATATTGGAGGCCTCTACAGATAATATGGAAAATTTTATAGTGTTGTTGTTTCCATTTGACTTTTTGTTCAAAATATGATGCATTAACTTCAAGTTCTCCGCTTACGAATATTAATTTCCTCCAATGTCTCACTTCACTGCATTTGATACTTTACGATCTGAAGGATCATTTGGATTAAGGCCCTACAATTACAATGTTTAATTCACCTTATCAATTTCCAGAATTTTTTGCATTTCTTTAAAAAAATTACTTCTCAATGTTATTCTCCCTCAATCCCGACGTACATAACGAAGATCTTTTTAATTATATAATAATATATTTATATATATTATTAATATATTTCTGCAAATCACTGACCTTAACTTCACCGTACATGACGATGGGCTGCTGGGTCTCGGTCTGCTGGTCTTCATCGTCACTTTGACTCGTCCAGACCTTGACGGTGACGTCATTAGAAGTGCTGGGCTGCGCGGTGACTTGAATGTGCAGACCCTGGTGAGAGTCTGCACGGTTCTCCACTTTGTAGCGCCATACGCCCTTCTGGTTGTACAGGAATAATAAGACGCGTTAGACGTATTCTGTACCGGGGAAATTGAAGCGCTGTTTAGCAAAGAATTAAGTTTTGTGTACGAACTTTCTTACATGAGATTTGATTATATACTATACCCAGAGTTAATAAATCAGTGTTTGTATAGTTCTTTGGAATTTTTTTGGATGATTTTTCAAAATTCTTTTAAATAAGTAAGCAGCAATGTAAGGTACTTAAATTATGCCGAATAAGCTGTGGTTCATGGTTCATGATTAGCGATTTATATCATAGAGGGAACACCAGTGAAAAATATTAATTATTTGATACTTTTATGTTATCCCACAGAATGATTACTCAACTTTCATTACAAACAGTATTAACAGATTGTCAATTATACAACATTGTCTTGAATTATATTAAACCAAATACAATTGCCGGGTACCAAAAAAAGCAAAGTATTCTATAAAATACTGAATCTTTTTTAAATTTTACGACAACATTGCTGAGCAGTACCGGTATATGCAGATCAATAATTACAGCTGAAGGTACCGTCAGTTGCATGTAACCTTGAGACAGCGCAGCTATCGACGCTTCTTGGAATTCTTGCCTCATAATGTATAAGCCATTCCTCGACTGTCGTTCATTATGTCGACTGTAAAGTCATGATCACATTTCCTAGAAATGGTGCATGAATTTCTTCAGTAGAGTCTATCACTGAATGGGTCTGTGTCCCATCTGAAAGAATCAGTCGTTGAAACTTTACATAAACTTGAAAAAAATTGTGTTTGCCTACGTCGTGAATGAGCATGTTGTTCGTAAGAATTTTTTATTCTCGCATCCTAAAAAAAACAGCTGATGAGAACTTTAGGATAAGCTATCGCCGTAAAAAAATCATATTCTGGCATTAAACTGCTAGTAAAATATGCTGTCTCAATACTAAGAATCATTGATAATAAATAGCTGTAAATTGCCGAGCTTAGCCCTGAACTTGGCCATAAGATGGATGAGCTAGGGTGCGGAGGATTAGACACAGCGCTATCATTTCAGCCAGACGCATTCCTTCATTAAGGATTGGACTCCATGACTTGCAATTGCTTCACTAAATCTTAATACAGACTTATGACCGCAGTTTTGTGAGAGTAAATACTGAAATGTTGCTACGGGGCTTCACTGCACAGGATTTAGAGGCCTTCTCATCACCAAGAAGTCTAAAACGGGAGAATGTAAGTCTGGGCATGAATCAGGAAATCCGTAATGAAAGCACAATTATTATTGATTCATAAATCTATAATGTGAATTTTAGTTTACTAGTTGATTGTACTTGTGTTCTGGAGTAGTGAACCTACGAGGAGTTAGACTATAAAATTACTTCTCTTGTAGAGAAATAATAATTTTTTTATCTATTTTTCTTTGCTTTTATATTCTTAATTGATCGTACCCACTATGTAAATTCTGTTTCTGATAGATATCCTAATGTTGAACAACATATTTAATACTTCCTGCGAATGCACGAAGTTCATATTCTATATTTCTTGCCATATTTGTTCATTTATTCAAGATGAAGGCTAATCCATATACGAGTAAACTATATTACTTCGTTCTCTTCAACATTTAATGAGGATCCATATCCTCCTTTGTTCCTCGAAAACTGAAATTTATGAAGTGATGTTTCGCCTCGTCAATGGCAATCGACCTGGGCACCGCGATGCTAATTGCATGTTCGTCCAGCCATCAATCACGAGTCCTCACAATCGCCTCCAGAATTTAACGATATGCGCTTCTGAATATCGTTCAATATTGATGAATTTATTGGTACTCATTTTGCCTTGCTTTTGTTAACTGGCGTGTATACAGTCGCGTCAAGGCTTCTATATCAAGATTATCACCGCGCTTTGGAATTTAGTGTTTTATTAGCACTCGATCCTACAAGCCTTTTTATCGCTCTTTAAGCTCATTTCAATTTCAGAAATTGGAAATAATTGGGTAATAATTGTTACCGAATAATAAACAGCAATTTTTACACTTTTTAAATTGACTGGAAGCTTTGCAAACGTGCATATACATATTGATGAAAACAAAATGAAATTATTGCGTTCCTACCTGCATCAGCATCATTTAAATGAAATCGAAAATAAGGCTTCGTTCACGTGAAATTTTATCATTTTCAAAATAAATTGGTAGAAATGTCGAAAAGTTCTCGAAATTCTTCAATTAATAAAGGCAATGTTGCAAGTAAGACTTAAAATATGAGCTACTACTTGGTTGCGCGATATCAGACACAAGACAAGACATTACATTTGTTGTCAAGGGAACTGTAGTCTAATTTCTTTTCTCCTTTGAGGTTCTTCTGTCTTTGGATTAAAGGCTCTGCCAAATGAATGAAACCTCACGAACTCATGCTTTAAACAATTTCCTCGCAATTTCTGTGTTTAAGCTAAATAAAATGAAACCAAGTGCTGTCCTAGATGCAAATAAATGATGCATTGCATCCATTAACTTACCTCGGCATTGTGGAGGTTGACGAATATCATATTGACGTCGCCGTCCTCTTCTTGCATGTTGACGGACGCGAACGTGGTGCCAGAAGGGGCAGTGAGGTGGATGGCATTTCCTACATGGTTCAGGTCATAGTAATATACGGCAAAGCGGGCATGTGCTGCCAAAGATGTATCAAGTGAGAACGTTCCGGTGCTATGAGGTGTAACTCCTCCAGGATACGAAGCCGAGTGAACCAAGATAGGAGTTTCAGCTCCACCAGCGCGCACTGCAGATCTGAGAGCCTCCATGAGAGACACGAGCATGTTAACCTTTGAGTCAGTGCCGACACCTTCGTCCATAACAGTGAAAACGGAGCCTCCAGACTCACGTGCGATAGATACCAGTGAATGTGGAGGAATGGGTAAGCCTGGCCGTTCTTGAAGAGGATACAAGACCAATACGAGGCGCAGTCCTTCATCCGAAGCGACGCGTCGGACTTCCTCCGCTTGGGCGGCTCTGCTTTGATCGCCAGCAGTCAAAAGGATGATGGTCGCGCCTCTGGAGCTCTCGCCTCCAGTACGCAGCAGCTCGGCCGCGGCACGCAAGGCGCATGCGATACACGCTTGGCTGGCGCGGACGGACGAAGGGTTCCTTGGTAACGACGAACCAACGCGCTCTCTCAGGTCCGATACGCTCTCCAGCTGCAAGCGATATGAACGACATAAACAAATTAGCTTTTCACTCGCATTGAATTTTACTTAATTATTCACCCCCATTGTGGCGTTTTGTCGGTCTCGAAACTCGAAGCAGGAGTCATTAACAACCAAACGCTATATTTTTAAATGGTTGGAATTGTATTCAAATCAAGATTTCCGATTTCAGGAAAATTAGTGTAAGTAGATTTTATTTTCTGCAATGTGAAATTTAGCTCATAAATCTGCGTCCTTGATCCACGTACATTGTTAAATGCACAGGCAATGTTGTAAAAACAAAAATGTTGAATGAACGTGGAGAAACGAACGTTCTTTCATTTGACATTTGCATGTAAATTACATAGAATTCAGCTATAAAAAAGGACGAATACATAACAAAAACAAATCATTTTAATTGTATTGTTAGCATACAAATATATATTAAATATTCAAAAGCACGAAATTTTGGAGCAAAGGTTTGGATGATTCAATCGAGATTGTCTCCCGCGCTAATCATGACAGTTGGGCAGCTTCGATAAATTTTTGAGAGTATCTCACGCGAGTTTAATGCAAGTTAACCGTTAATAAAACGCTTGAGTAAATATTCCTCCAATATACCAATAGTGACGCATTGCAAGCAAAATTTTGGCTGGAAATAAAAAAAACTGTGTTTATCCTAGCAAGCAACACATTCAATAGTTTATATAGACTTGTGAATTACAAAGCAATCTCTACGCAGCGGTGAACAACTGAACGTAGTGGCCGTTAAGCCATGTCAATCATAATGCATCCTTGCCCTGTATCTCATGACTGAAAAAGCAATGTTTTCATTGGAATATTTGAAATGTTTACGAGAGGTTCTTGTCAAATATCTAATGAGTGAAAAATGAATATACTCATCGGAATTCTTGAATCGAAAGAGCTTGACAAATTTATGATTTCATGGAATTAGCAGCCAAGGCTAATGTAACTGTGGATTACCATGGAATTAATAATTTCTCGGCTATTTTTAGCTCAAGTGATAGTTTTCGTTTTCAAAGGAAACTCCGCGGTCATTTCTAACAAATTCTTGTTCGAAAATAAAGAATTGTTGCGAGAATAAAATAAAAATGTACACTTGTTTGCTAAAATTTCCAGCGCAGTCTAAAAGATAACGCAATTTCTCCACACACGCTGTAAATACAGAATTTTCAGTTTCCACTTTACGAATAAATATTTCCACTCACGAAGACTTTATTTAGAACTTATGATGTGAAATGAGCAGAATTATATATTTTTTTTAAGTATGGGAAACGCTGTATTTCGAGCTAAAGTGTAGTCTGATAGCTGTACAAAGATACACTCTTTTAATGTCCATATACGAACAAATTCAAATACGAAATTCCCTAACATTTTTATTTTTAGAAAATGTAAATAGAAATACTTATAGTTAATATAGGTAACTTTTTTCCGTTTAGTACAATTATTCGACAATAAATGGAGTTAGGGGGCAAAGCCAAAGGTCAAAGCAGCACTTATCTCGCGTCGACGGCCGCTTCTGTTGTCAATGCAATCATGGTCAATTTAGCGCTGTTTTCCGATATCTGCGATCAATGAGCGCTAGGAATTTCCTAACGACGTTAAAATAACGCCTTTCAACCTCCCAGTTTATCGGTCAAAGGACTGGACGAGACAACCGCTTACAAGCAAATGCTGAAGTAACTTTCTACATCGATCTCTTCACCACAGTAGTCGGATCTTCGTTTTCGCAACATATAAATGATTTATGTTGTGAAACAAATTGATTACTCCTTCGTCAGAACCGCATAAAAACTTTAGATTCAGGAAATTTTGAATCACCATTAACCAATTTACAAATTGTTCATGTTGTTCTTATTATGAATGTTTATCAATTTATCATCTGGAGACTTAGAGATGAGTAATTCAAAATTTCCAATTCAAAATCTTATTAATAAGAAACGAAATGGGATATCCTACATGACTTCCAAAATTTCCACTTGAATGATGATGGAACCTCGGTGGACGATTTACTCGAGCAGAGGAAGATTGGTATTAAATTTTATATTTTATAAATTAAAAAGATTGATGAAAAAAATATTTCACAAATCCGAGGCATACTTTAACCAGCCGGTGCACTTGTCCTGAATTTAGAAGCCATTTTAAAAATTTCTTTAAAAATGATAGACGTGTTATAGGTGGCTCTGCTCTTGTCGATAACCTGCTGAGCCTGATTCAGCCATGTTTTCCTCCAGGGACCGAGAACTAGAAGAGAGTCGATCAGTATGCGCTTTGGCTCCGTGGCTCGCTTGGTCTAATTTGTTATGGTCAGGACAAAGCTTGAGTCTGCTGCAGGACTGTACCACCTAGAGAATTTAAGACTAGAAACTACTGTACTTTGAAGCTGCAGTACTGTACCACACAGAGAATTTAAGACTAGACACTACTGTACTTTGAAGCTGCAGGACTGTACCACACATCGAATTTAAGACTAGAAACTACTGTACTTAGAAGCTGCAGGACTGTACCACACAGAGAATTTAAGACTGGAAACAGTGGTACTCTGCTGCAACAATACTGTACCACTAATACAACTCAAGACTGAATATAAGTATACATTGCTGCTGCAATACTGTACCACTAATACAACTCATGACTGAATATTAGGATACTCTGCTGCTGCAATACTGTACCACTAATACAACTTAAGACTGAATATAAGTATACATTGCTGCTGCAATACTGTACCACTAATACAACTCAAGACTGAATACAAGTATACTCTGCTGCTGCAATACTATACCACTAATACAACTTAAGACTGAATACAAGTATACTCTGCTGCTGCAATACTATACCACTAATACAACTCAAGACTGAATACAAGTATACTCTGCTGCTGCAATACTGTACCACTAATACAACTCAAGCCTTAATATAAGGCTACTTTACTGCTGTAATACTGTACCACAAAAACAACTCAGGAATGAATATACGGACACTTTGCTGCTGCAATACTGTACCACAAGACTGAATATAAGGATACTTTGCTGCTGCAATACTGTTACAAAAACAATACTGTACCACAAAAACAATACTGTACCACATAAACAATACTGTACCACAAAAACAATAATGTACCACAAAAACAATACTGTACCACATAAACAGTACTGTACCACCAGACTGAATCTTAAGATACGTTACAAGTACTCACCGTGGAGAGCGGTGACACCTCCTTGCTACGCTCGTTGAAGACTATAACGCCGGCGCGCGCGTTGTCTGGCAAGTCGTAGACGATGGCGCGGCGTACGGACTTGCGTACGAAGTCCCAGCGTCGCTGCGAATGCACATCAATAATTACAAGCTACGAACATCTAGTGGTATAATGATTAAATATTACTAAAAAATACACTACTAGTATGGCAATGGCTGGGGACATATTGTTTGATTTATTTTATTACATAAGGGTTGTCAATTTTTCCGTGAAGAAACCATCCAGAAATCTAGTGTAATGATAACTGAAGATATGTTTGTAAACAAGTGCTAGATCTGGTGATATTGCTTATGCAGATTTTATATCATTTAAATAAAAATCATTCCATTCCCTTAAAATAAGTAATTAATGAGTAATTAATTAATGTTTTCAATTGTCAATATGAATGAATTTAGAGTTCCAACTTTGAATTTGAACAGTTGAACATGAGCTTCGGACGCTGAAATTTTATAAAGAATTTTCAAACTGAAAATCGGTTATCCCAATTTAAATAGGGGGATATTTTACCGAAGCTTTCTACCGTAGCAATGTTGCAATAAAAATTCCTCATGCTACCCAATTAACCACTAATTAAATGCCCTTCAGATCGATAGAAGAGAGCTTCAAAGACAGCAAGGAATTCCGAACCTTTTTTATCGCTCTAAATATCAGCAAATAGAATTAAATCGACTCGAGGTTTTTCGGTATATTTCACGTTTCTCATATGCGATTAAACAGCCCTGATTAATGCAGAACAATTTAGTGTGCCTTCCATATCGTTATTCATGCCTAGATTCGAAATTAATCGTCCTGTGCTCCTGGATTAAAATCGCATTACGAATCTCGAGACAATAAATTTGTGAGGCCAGGATGGTGATTAAACCCGCATGCTGTAGCTCCGGACGTCACTAATGAAGAGCATCGCATGATTGCGGCTCCAAGATTTTATCCTTTTATGTCAGTGTTGAATAATTAATATGAGCCGAGTTTAAAGTGCTTGCCGAAAATATTTGAATTTGGGCATATTTTTGGAAATAAATTAATCTTAATAAGTTGTGTTATCTATAAACATAATTCTCCTCACCGAGGATAATAATGGATAAAGTGCGTCACTCAGGCTAAGCTAGCATTATTTGGTTGTCTCAAAAAGAGACATTACATGCAAATAATACTTTAAAGTTTTAAAAATGCGAAATTTTAATACTTTAATTGAGATTGAAATCATCATTTGAGTATTCTGTAAATTTGTTTAGAATATATAAGGAGTGAAGCGTGAAGATTTAATTTAATTTAATTAATTGAACATGAATGAAATCAATATCTTGACGTATGTGCAGCAGTTTAAATATAATGTTGAGTTGAATTATTGTGTTATTATGATGCAACGTCACTAAGAAAATATGATGAATAGGATATATTGTCGATAAAACACTCTTTATAAGCTGACAAGGAGTGATACAATTATTAAATATTCATCAACTGTCATCCACATTGTTTGCAAACAGCTGAATTGAAAATTTATTCTGGGAAGACAGAATTTTGTATGCTCAAAACTGCAATGCAAAATTTTGCTGTATTAAAGCCTTGTATCCACGACACTCTACCATATTCTACAAAAAATAGTAAAATATTTAACATTCAACTACAGAAGACTACAAATTTATGCTACTGAATGAGTGTAGGTGAGACAGCAGACAAATCTTGAATAGAGACGCCAGCTTCACAAAGAGCTCTCAACATTTCTAGTTTTGAGTTGATTTATCTTCAATACTCTATCAAAGAAAGAATAATTGTACACGCGTTGTGATATATCGTACATATTCAGTTTCATGCAATGAGTGAAATGAGATAACATTTTAATAGTGAACACATATATGCAGGACTAATTTTTCTCAAGACGATTGGAAAAAGAAGTAAGTAGTATCATTTAATGGCGAGACGAATCAATAATAACCCATACATAACAAGTAGGCGCGTGACCGTGATAACCATTCATACCGAGAATTAGTTCTTAATAAATTGAAATACTCACGTGATATCGATTGTTCTGAACCATGAAAATATTTGTTCAGTTAAAGTGTTGAATTATCTCAAAAGATCATTAAGTTTGTCCATATTCACTGTAAGGTCATGTAGAATGCGATAGAGACATTACAGTTGACAGATCCGATGTGTTAATAAATTGAACGATCTAACTTAAGAAAAAATAAGTCTGCGTTTTCTGTCATTATAAACATTTGTTCCCCTTACAATAGCAAGAACAAGCGCTATTTTTCTGCTTTAAAAAGTTGAACATTTTGCTTTAGAAAAGCTCCAGCGCGACTTTTCCCGTGCCTTTGATATAAGCGGTGTTGGCAGCAGGTTGCTGGAGCGAGATCAGACCTGCGCGCCACTCATGTTTACCGCTGTGAGCTAAAAAGCTAGCTACACTGGGGGATTTGTTGAATCTCTTCTTATTCGTCGAATAAAAACCTAGTTTCTGGATTATTTGCATCGTCATTCTTTCACATCACAGATTACGTGCACTAGGAAAACGGTTTTGTATTTCATGTCCCTGCTACCTTGATGATGCTTGCATCTTTGTTGTTTTGTTTGCTTCATGAGCGGTTTGCTGCAGTTTTGTTTGCTGCAGTGAAAATGTTTTGTTTGCTGAAGTGACATTTCAAAACTCCTCAATATTTTATTAATATTCTACTTTTAATTCACGACGTTTTATTGATCGAGTGGGGTAATGAAAACTTGAGTTAAATAATTTTCGGCAGTCAATTGAGGTTGAATAAATTTTGGATAAGCGTTTTTTTTCAAATGTTCGATTCATGTTCGCTTGGATTAATTGAGATCTCACAACAAATTTCGACTAGCCCTAGTGTTTAAAAGATTTAGTTTCATTCATCTTTAGATCATTTTCTTAAACTTTCCAAAGAAGTTAAATATTAAATCACTGCATTCCTAGAAAATAACTGCAGCTTATAAGTGCCTGAAACACTTGTGACATTATTTCATCGCTGCGGGCGCGCTTAATATCAATGCATAGTCACCTTCTATGAATTTCTATATTTTAAATATATTTAAGCTCATGCAAAAGGCAATTTGTTTAAAGCTATTTATAAAATGTGTAAATATTTTATATATATTAAAGCTCTTGTCAAACACAGCGAACAACTCAACCTTATCTTATAGGAAGATGTCTACAAAAATTTGATACTGCAGACCAACACCTAAAATATTGACGCAGCCATCAAAGTAGGAGTTTCTAATTAATCATTTTCTCTTGCCAACTCGCTTCCTCGAGTGGTTGTTTTCTTCAGAAATTTGATATAAATTTCTAATTGCATGCTATTTGGTAATTTCAAATCGATATAAGTGTGGGATTTCACCAGAGAAAAGTACATAATCTTATCGGTTATTAATGATAGGCAATATCCTATAATAATTAACCGGGAAAAGCAGGTTATTCAAGACATTGCATCCATCCGAACACACCTTTTACCAATACATTTAAGATATTAATTGCTCTGTTATCTCATCCTCCCGAAACCAAAACGAGCCAGTCGCATGTAATGCAATGTTTTTGTACCAAGTATTGCTGCTTGCCGCAGGAGGTCATAATGTGATATTCCAGACATAAGCCCTTATAATTTTCTACGCGTGTAATTCGTTTCGAGGAACTCCAGTCCAGACACAAGGACTCCCACGCTAACCTGATCGATGACGGTAATGACAGCGCAGGGATTAAGCCGCTCATACACAGCGTGCCGGCCGTAGCACTGCATGCACTGTAGCAGTGATCGCTTAAATGTGTAGTGCAGTCTGCAGTGCACTTGATTAGTGTATAGTGCAGTCTGCAGTGCACTTGATTAATGTGTAGTGCAGTGCGTAAAGCACAATTGATTGCCCTTAATATTATGGAGAACAAGATTCATTGTTAATATTCTTTCATAGATAAATCTTACATGACCATATGATAGTCTGCAAAACGATGCATCGTGAATTAAAAGTGTAAGCATATATTCGTTCTTCTTGAGATAGTTCGAAACAAGTTTTAATGTGAATTATATATCATTTGTTTAGCCATATTAATAGTGAATTAATTATTCGGATTTAAGGCCTTAAGTCCCACAGGGAAACCTCACAGAAATTTGCACAAAGCTTATCGATATTCGCAAGACAGAAATGTTTACTGCGTTTGCCATTGATTGCGATTGAGATATTGTACTAGGACTGCAATCGCGCGATGTTGTCACTCATCCACCTGCATACATGATCGTGACTGTCGCGTTATATTGAATTATAAAATTATTCAATAATTCAATGTAATATATATTGAATTATTGTTAATATTGTTATATTGAATATTGAAAACTCGCCCTATATCTACCCTTTAAGCCGGTTGGCTGACTTAAAGATTTTATTATAATATTTATCTGACGCCTCGTGCTCCAATGTGAGTAAATAAATTTGTTTTGGAAAACTCGAAACTGATATTTGCAGTTCCGTGTAAAATATTTTTTGGTCAGTGCATGGGAATATAATAGTTAAGACGACAGAAAATCTTCAATATAATTAATCCGCATTAGTCTTTTTATTTAAGTTTAATATATTTTACCTTTTTTGTATTTAATTTATTTTAAAAAGTTTGCATTCGAACAGAAAAAAATTTCCTAACCATTTTACTTATAAAGTATTCAAAATTTAAAAATCAAGCTAAATCACTTAATGCATTTGAATTAAATTTGCTAATTTGGAATTTTACATGCAACAACCTGAGAAATAGATATTATTATTCGAAATTTCATTTCAATAAACAAATATACTTGTTTAGAGAGAATGTTTTCGCAATAAACGTTCTAAATCAAATGGATGTGGTCCAATTGAATTGGGATAATTTATTGTTCAATAGTCTGGGCCGGATACATACTAAAAAATTAGTGCATGACTGGCCGGTGTTTCGAGGTCATTAAGAAATTTCAGTGAACTTAAGAAATCTCTAAAATATCGTTTGCTAAAATTACTCACTACTGAAAAAAATAAAATGGCAATTTATAAAAAATATATATAGAAAATGATGCCTAAATCTAAATTTT